TCTTTTTAGCAACATCATATGACCCCTTTAAGACAAAACCGACTGCATTTACATGAATAGTCACCAAGACGGGCATTTTTACAAAACATTTCGTTTAAGTGTGTAGCAATAACAGAACTTAAGAGAACGTAAGCGAAAGAACTCGGCATTGCACACTGACTGAGAGGCGCGTTATTATGTGAGCGCACTTTCGGTGTGTGAGTACAAACCCGTCGGCTTTCAAGTACTGGTCAAGACTTAAAAACTCATGCAAATACTGAATATCACTTTCGTGATAATGCATCGCGACTGTTTGCCTACAGTCGTACAACACCAAAATGTCGGTTACACCCGTCGGCTTTCAAGTACTGGACAAGACTCAAAAACATATGCAAATACTGAATATACCTTTCGTGATAATGCATTGAGTCAGTGACATTTCAGTCAACTGTCCCTGGACTCTGACATATTTTCCGAGTCCGAAAGGCTTGAGTCCGAGTCAAGTCAGAGTAAAAATGCATCCAAGTCAGTTAAAAAAAAAAAAAAAACCTGTACTCGAGACTGGACTCGAGTCAGAGTACGAGTCAGAATACTCCAACTCTAATATTTAGTAGATAGTGTTTAACACACAAAAGAGTGATGATCAGGTCAACACACTTTGAGGTATAGAAATTCTACACTGATTTAAAAGAGAAAAAAACTGCACTGGTATCAGATCAGTATTGGCCGATACTTAGAATTTTTGGTATCGGATTGGTTCAGAAAAAAAATAGTATCCGTCCACCCCTATTAAGCTATTGCGTTTGTGCATTTATACTAAATGTATTTAGACTATCATTTTTAATACGAATACCTAAAAACCATATAGTTACATTTTTACCATGGTATTGAGGTGCAATATGTGTGGTTTTAACTGTGGTTATAATGATCTGAATTACGGCTGTCAAAAAAAAAATTTAATTTCGAATATTCGTCGAATTTAAAATAAAAATCCACATTCGAATGCAAAAATGTTGCATTCGAATTTTAGGTGTGCATCAGACAGCATTATCAGTGGCACACGAGATGCGATGACGATGTAAGTGTCATTGCATTTTAATGCTTTTGTTAGCCTATCCAGTTGAACCCACTAGATGCGGCGCTGCTACGTTGTTCATTCAAAATATTGCGGGGAAAAAAGAACATCAATGCGGAGATGATGTTGTTTATGTCAAAACCGAAACCAAACCGTTCACACAGAACGCATATTTATCACATTTTCTAGAGGGACGTCCATCACCGTTGCACTCGCGTCTCGCACAAGAGAGCCGCAAGTTTAGAAAGCCATGTAAAATTAATGTAAGTTAAACTTTTTAAAAACACGTCTCAAGACTTTATGGTGGTTTTTCCCCATCCTACTGCATATCAAATTTTTAAATGAAGAAAGTACTCTGTGATTGGTTTTCGGTCCTTTGTATTAAACTATATTTACATGCATGATGATGTTTTGTTTCTAATTGTTTAAGCAACTTTAATTATATAAAGTTTATAAACATTATTTTAAACATCATGCACTTTTTTTCCAAAGATAGTCATGTTATTTTATTATGCTTTGAAGAAACGTGCATAATATTTTGTTCGATACGCTGAATTTAGTTTTTCATTTTTCAGCCCAGCCCTAATCTAAATGTATGCTACTATGGAAGCGGCCCGCTCCCCCAACGTCACCCCCCGCCCCCCTTGAAGGTCAAGTTAATTTTATTTAATTATATTTTCTCTATAACCCAGATCACAACAGAAGTCATTTAAAGTTACCTTTCCAATAGAACAGGTATAAATGAACCTTGTTCTATTAAACAAACTAAATAGCCTTATGTTATTTATCTTATTTACACGACGGCATGTCATTTCAGTCTCTACGTTATGGTCGCGCTCTCTGTATCACGCACAGGAGCGTTCCGCCCTGATATATTAATATCATAATTAAGCATAATTGTGAATTCACAAAAGCTACGATTTAATTAAATAATTATATGCGATGCCGTTCTAATACAGTATATGCGCTTTATTTACATGCGTGTAGGTTAAGTACATGCGTCACACAGTGTAGAGTGTGTGAGACGCTCAATGTGTAGAGCGTCTCAAACTGCATCTCTGCATGTTGTTGTGAGTTTGGGTTTATTATAACGTTCATCTCATTTATTGGACATTTGAATTAAATGGTGCTTGGTAAATATTAAACAAGTATTAGATCCCACAGCAATGTGTAAAAATAATCATTATGCCGTTGGCACCCTCTGCAGGCCTTTGTTGTAATGCGTAATGTACATTAGCTCTATTATTTATAAAACATTATGTACTTTAACAGTTTTGTTAAATATATAATAATAAAATTATATGATTTCTTGCTTTTGATACTTTATTTGAACTAATTATTATTGCCTCATTGCCATTATATATGTATTTTAAGTAATTTTAAAGGCTATTGTTCACTTACATCTATTTGTCTAATTAATTGAGTTTTACGGTTTTATTTTTACCAACTTGTGTTTTCATTCTTTTCTGGATTCCATTTTAATGGTTCCATTAAATTTTAATAATCAAAAGCATCTCCAATTAATTTATTTAAAGGGG